AGAATCAAAAGCAATTTAAAAACATACCAATTAAAAAAAAAGGGGGGGGGGGAATTCCAAACAGTATAGACAATACAGTACATTATTAAAGGCCATGAACAATCAGTCTCCAAAGATTCTCAGAAGGGGGAGGAGTCTCCACCTATCTATAGAAAGACAAGGAGGGCTAGGAAGGCACTCTTCTATGTTCCTACAAGATGTACCTGTGAAGGAGGTGGAACAGAACTGAAAATCTCAAAACCTGGGTAGGGTCATATGGGAGAACATAGGGCCTAAGCAGACTGCCAGAAATAGTGCACATTAAATTGAGGCACTGCCCTGGCTCAGTGCTAGGGAATCATGGGAACTGTAATTTATTGTGGCACCAGATCTCTCTGACAGAGAAGGCTCAATGTCTGAGAAAAAAATACAATTCCCATGATTCCTTAGCACTGAGCCAGGGCAGTGCCTCAATTTAATGTGCACTATTTCTGGCAGTCTGCTTAGGCCTATAGTCCTTCAAATAAGCTTCCAGCCTCAAGGCTGAATCCAGAAGTACAACCAAACTGCAGGACTTCAAGGGAAGAATAACCTCATCCAGCATTTATCCCATTTACCATTATAAAAATGAATGCAGCCACAAAGAAGAAACACATGCCTTCTTATGCAATTGATGTCTCATCAAGTAATTTTAACTCTTGGTAAAAGAAGTGAATGTCTTTAGATTCATATCATCAGGAAATCTGAGGGTTGTTTTTTTTTTCTTCAGCTCCACTGAAGGAGAGAGATAGAGGCAGGTCTCAAGGATGCAAAGCTGACAAGCCCAGTGACAGAATGATGGATCACCTGCAAGCAAGTCTGCTTCATTATACAGCGCTTACACAATTAAAAACACATCCCTAATATATACAAACTAGAGCATTCTGGTCCTTATTATTATGCTCCTGCAATGCGGAATTATTTTCAAAGACATGGGGAGGGGGGGAGCATCAACACACTCAGCAAGACTTATCTCTCTAGGTTTATTGCCATTTCCAGCCAACACATATAGTGAAGACTGTCCTTAATTTTTTAACAACATCCTACCCAGGGATTTTACATTTCAAATCAAATCACACTGACTCCTGATTAAATGGTTTTTAACGCCAAGGCCATACCGTTTGTATTTGCTTACAATTCCCATGATCAATTACTGTAACTGGATCTCTGAGATACCTAATTAATGAAAGACCAGCAAGGGAATACTAGCCAGGTACAGAACTTCCCTTCTACTCACCTTTACATCTCTGGGATATTTACTTCTGAACAAAATTACACCTGACTTTCGATGGCACAAATAACAGCATACTCCCACCAAACACACACAGAGGTGAAGGGTGCACAGCATTTTGCAAGCCAAAGAATGGAAAAATAAGGAATCTTAAAAATCAGTCAATACTGAAATTATTACGACAAACCTGACTCAGGCTTCCTACTCACTAGATCTGTGACAGGACTCCTCAGTTCCTTCTTCTCCCAATCAGCAAGCATTCTAACAGTCTGATAGATTAACTGTTACAATACAAACATGTTCTTGCATGAAGAATAGGACTATTTTGTAAAGCAAATTGATTTCCAGAATAGCTATGCTACATTACCTGTTTTTGTTTTTGCTGGTATACCAAATAAAAATAAGACTCAAAAAATTAACTATGTTCCTGTATTTTTTTTTATATCAAGCACACTTCATATTACAGCCTACCAGATGAAAATATGACATCACTGCTGTTGTTAGGTGCCTTCAAATCAACTCAGGCTTTGGTGACTACACAATTCAGGCATAGGATTTTCTTCACCAGATTTCTTCAGGAGTTTTGCCATTGCCTTCTTTAAAGGCTGAAGGAGTGTAACATGCCCGAGGGTCATGCAGTGTGTTTCCATGACTGAACAGTGACTGAAATCCTGGCCTCCTGGAGCCCTAGTCCAACACTCAAATCACCAGGCTGGCTCTTTATTAACTTATATCTCACCTTTTCCCCCAATATGTGCACTCAAGGAAGCTTAGAAAATATTGATACAATATAATTTCAAATACAAATAAAAACATCAGTAAAATTATATGAAAGCTACTCTAATATGCAAGTCCACAGAATTAAAACAAATTAACAAATCGTTGAAACAGAAGATGAAAATCAACAAGACAGCACACTATTAAAATTGCTGTAACTAATTACTAAAACTGTTAGAAAAGTCTTCAATTGTAAGATGCAAGCATTCCTACTCCCATCCCCATGAGTTCCAAAATCTGGGAAAAGCCACCAAGAAGACCCTGTCCTGGATTGCCACCAAATGTGTCTGGGAAAGTGGTGAAATCGGACAAGATGGGACTCATTTGCAGTCAGCAACCACAGCAAAAGGGTTCTGTTCTGCTATTTATGGAGAGTAAACAACAGTATAATGTGTAACTAAAAAGCCTCAAGAAATATGGTAGAATTTACTTCACTCTTTTTAAAAAAAAAATCAGACATTGCAGTACACTTGGACCTAGGCCCAGGCACAACAACACAAAAGCCATCATCTCTGTAAAATGTCATTTGTGCTACTTGCCAAAGATGGGAAAAGAGTGGTGGAAGTAGGGTAGAATCAATTCCTTTTTAAAGTTGATGTAACTAAATTCAGAAAAGCCAAATAAATGCTAAGCAGGCATATTTCTGTGGAAAAGTAGAAAGGAACAGTAGACCTAATATCAATAAATATGGGGGGGGGGGGCCCTAGGGTTGTCATCCAAAAGAGAAAGGGGCAGTAGCCCAAAGAAGTTTGGGGATCACTGGTTTAAAGGCATCCTGAAAAGGAGACATCTGGTGACATCACACACACACACCTCTTCACTTTGTACTTCTCTAGTCACTGGATGCTACTATTCCAGGATGCCTTTAAACAACAGCACCCAAATCTGCATACTTATTAGCCCTTCTCTCATAAATGTTCAAAGGGAGTGCCCAACAAGGACAAGAACCGGTGACTGTCATTTTTGTCTTGGCCAGCAAAGTAATCTGGCACTTTGAACAGGTCCTTTTATCTTTACATCTTTTCTTTCTCTATTCAAAGTCATTTTGGTAACTAAATTAACAAAATTCTGAAGTATGTGGTTTAATATTTCAGCAATATCTGCTTGAATAGATGCAGCTGCTCTGAGCATATAATGATGAATACAGTGCATTTGAATTAATACATTCAAAATGCTTTCCAGGGCCATCTGCTGAAGCTCACAAACAATTCTGCATTAGATCTGTCAACTCATTCATGTTAGATATTTCAGTGCTCCCCACCCACAAGCTGGTCTATTATATTTCATTGCAGATGGGCTCATCCTTCATTCTGCCTTTTGATTCCCATTCTAGAAGTGATGGGCTGGAAATGATGAAAAAATGTATCTCTGTCTTCACATGCCTATACATAGGATAATTGGAGCTGTCCTAATCCCCTAAAAGTCCTAAATTCTCTTTCCAGAGTGGACAAGTGTTAAATCTTGAAGAACTAACAAGATGTTCAGCTCCATAATAATAATAATAATAATAATAATAATAAGGGGGGGCAGACAACTTTCCTTGCTCAATTAAAGAAGCAGTAAAAGGCAGACAGGCAGCAATGACATAACTATCTAAGTAGGAGACAAAAAGACCACACAGGAGCAAAAAAGAAGTTTAAAAATGATTTCAAAAACCTGTAGTTGATCAGGAAAGCTGGCATACCTTTTCATAAGGCATTTTTGAGAGCAGGAAAGGGGTAGGAGCCTTCCCTGCAAACAGGAAGAGCAACAGATCATCCCCCCTTTCCCAGGACCATATTCCTTCTGTAACACAGTGTAAGCATACAGGAAAGGGCAAAGGTTCCCCTCACTTTCCGGAGGGCACAGAATCATAGAACTATAGAGTTGGAAGGAGCCTCATAAGCCATTACTCAGTGCAGGAACTCCAGCTAGAGTACACCTAGTAAGAAGCTGTCCAGCTTCTGTTTGAGGGCATCCAGAGAAGGAGACCCATCTCTTCTCTAGGCAATTGGCTCCACTGTCAAACCACTCTTATCATCAAGACGTTTCCTCTACTGTTCAACTGAGATTGACCCTCCTGCAACACAGGTCCAAAACACACTGCAGAAATAATACAATTTGAGACTGCTTTAACTACCCTGGCCCAGTGCTGGGAAATCATGGCAACTGTAGTATATTGTGGCACCAGAGCTCTCTGCCAGAGAAGTCTCACAAAACTACAGTTCCCAGAATTCCCTAGCATTGAGCCAGGGCAATTAAAGCAGTCTCAAACTGGACTATTTCTGCAGTGTGTTTTAGATGTAATTCTTGATCACCTTGGAGTTCTTGTTTGCTTAATTCCTTCTCATGTTGCATTTCTTTCTCTCTTAATTCTAACCTTTTCAGGGAGATGGACGCATGGGTTTGGGGAGATTGGGTGTGTATCAGGGTGTGTCTATAATGCAGTTGGACGCCATTTTAAGTGCTGTAGCTCCATCCTATGAAATCCTGAGATTTGTAGTTTTACAAGGTCTTTAGCCTTCTCTGGGTATTATCTGCACTGGAAAAATAAAGCAGTTTGACACCACTTCAACTGCCATGGCTCAACACTACAGAATACTAGGATGTGCAGTTTTGCAAGTTATTTAGCCTTCCCTGTCAAGAGAGCTCTGGTGCCCCCACCAAACTACAAATCCCAGGACCCCACAGCATTGAGCCATTTATTATTTACTTTATTTCATTTCTTTTCTATGCCACCTTTTGCCCAAAAAAGGGATCCAAGGCAGCTCACAAAATAAAACATTATTAAAACATCACAATAAAAACATTAAAAAATTAAAAACATCTCTAGTTAAACTTCCATTGCAATTAACATGGGGTCAAACTGCATTATTTCTACAGCACATATACACCCAGAGAAGACCATGTTAAACTACAAATCCCAGGATTCCATAGGATGGTATCACGGCAGTTAAAAGTAGTGTCAAACTGCATTATTTCTACAGTGCAGAGAGCCAGTATGGTGTAGCGGTTTGAGTGCTGGACTACAATTCTGGAAACCTGGGTTCAAATCCCAGCTTGGCCATGAAACTTACTAGGTGACCTTGGGCAAGTCACAAGCTCTCAGCCTCGGGGAAGGCACTGGCAAACCTCCTCCGAACAAATCTTAACAGGTAACCTCATGATAGTTTTAGGGTCACCATAAGTCAGAAACAACTTGAAGCCACACAATAACAACGACAATGCACCCAGAAATAGCTAAAGACATGAAGTTGAAGGCTTTCACAGCCAGCATACGTAGTTTTTTTGTGGGTTTTTCAGAACACAGCCACATAAACTGAAAAGCCCACACAAAACTAAAGCTAAAGACCTTGTTAAACTTCAAATCTTGGGATTCCATAGGATGGAGGCATGACAGCTAAAGCAGTGCAGCATGAATACACCCAGAGAAGGCTAAGAACCCTGTTAAACTAAAAATCCCTGGAATCCAGAACACTTAGCTATAGCAGTTAAAGTAGTGTCAAACTACAGTCTCTATGCAGCTCAAATACACACAAAGGAGGCTGAAGACCTTGTTAAACTACAGATCCCAAGATTCCATAGAGTGGAGCCATGGCAGTTCAAGCACTGCCCTCAGAGAAGGCTAAAGACCTTGTCGAACTACAGATCCCAAGATTCCATAGGGTGGAACCATGGCAGTTCAAGCACTGCCCTCAGAGACCTTGACGAACTACAGATCCCAAGACTCCGTAGGGTGGAGCCATGGCAGTTCAAGCACTGCCCTCAGAGAAGGCTAAGGACCTTGTCAAACTACAGATCCCAAGATTCCGTAGGATGGAGCCATGGCAATTAAAGCGGGGTCAAATCGCATTATTCCTACAGTGCGAACCAAGGTGGCTTTTTGGGGGGCGGGAAGAAACCAGAGAGCCCGCCGCTGCTGGTCGGGGAAAGTTTGCCCAAAGCTGAGACGAAATGAGGCGGCGGGGACGGAGAAAATCTGAGGGAAAAGGAGCCTTGTGAACTCCAAGGCGGGGATTCTGTGCAAAGGAAGGCCCTGGAAAAGGTCCCCGCGGCCGAAATTACCTCAGGGAGGAGGACCGAAGCACCTCAGAGCCTCTCCGTCGGAAAGAAGGCGCTACGGAGAAGCCTTTTTATCCCTCCCGGGTCGGCACTTCCCTCAGAGGAGGCCTCCGGGCCGCAGCCCCTGGCTCCCGCTCCGCTTCTTCCCCTCACGCCGCCATCTTCCCCTCCTCGCTTCAGCCACTCAACGGCCGCGACGGAATGACCGCTCGCCCAACCGCCGCTCCCTCCCATTGGCTGCAGCGCCTGTCCTTCACCTCTCTGCTTTGGGCTTTCATTGGACACCCGTTTTCCTCAGGCTCCTGGAACCGGAGAGGCGATTGGTACATCTTGATAAGGAGGTGGGGAAGGGAGGAAACCACGCCCTCTTTTTGAGGAGCCATTCCGGGGATAGGAGGGAGGCGGGGCAATTAGGGGATTGGTGGGAGGAGCTATCCAGAACGCCTCCTCCAAGGAGCCTAAGAGAGGGGAGGGGAGGGGTAGATTGGAAATCCCGGTGGGTGGATTTAGTGTGAGGGAAGGGATGGGAAAAAGGGAAATCCAGGTGGCTGGATTAGGTGTGAGGGAGGGAATGGGTGAAGAAGAAGAAGAAGAAGAAGAAGAAGAAGAAGAAGAAGAAGAAGAAGAAGAAGAAGAAGAAGAAGAAGAAGAAGAAGAAGAAGAAGAAGAAGAAGTGGTCCATATTATTATTATAAAGATAAATTATAAATAATTATAAATACAATTACTGTTTGTTGTTGTTAACTATGGATGAGAAATCTCCTGCAAACTCATACCCATCACTTCCCTAATGGAGTCCATCCATTTAGCATGTGGCCTTCCTCTCTTTC